AACCCATGACCTTGCACTTGCCAGGCAGGTGCTTTTGCCACTGAGCTAAATCCCCAGCCCCCAGAGCATCTACTTTGAAACCACACAATTCCTAACCCTGAAGTTTTCCAGAAAATTATTAAGTTACATCAAAAGTCCCAGATTCTTTGTGAAATAATTATATTTAGTGGTCATTCATCGATGCAAGAATTGTTCACTGAACTTCTGATTTTCACCAGGCACTGTGTTTGAACCTGCATATAGAATTCGGCAAGATGCAGTCCCTGTATTTCAGGAGATTATAAACCAAAGTCAAATGCAAAAATTAAGTGAAGCTGCATGAAGTAACCTTTCTGCTCCAAGTCTGGAGTAAGTAAATCATACTGGTTCAAATCTCCATGTATCTTCCTCTATTCCAAAGGCTGCTTATAATCTTTGTTATCTGTATGTTTTCTTTTGCAGCATTTAGTCAACACGTAAGGCTATCTATAAAGGAAACCCTATTTTGCCGAGAACCTGAATTCCCTCTACTAATCTAATGACCTTGAAAGCCAGTTATTATATTGAAACTGTGAAATATACAATAATCCCTCAATTAACCAGGATGAACCTAAAATGTTCTGGTTCATTTAATTTACTGCTTAACAGAGTTAAGTTTAAAAAAACCTTTTAGTTAAATACTTCCTGAAAATACATGACAATATTTTCTGCCCTAATAAATACAGTGAAATTGAAAATAATATGAGCATGTTTATCAGGGCAAGGACTTCACTTTATGACAGCCTGCATCAACCTTATTTAGCAGCTGACAGATATTGTTTGGCTTCTTAAGATATTGTTTGGTGCTATCTTTTCAGCATCACAGAATTTTAGGGCTCAAAAAACATTCAAAATCATTTAGTTCAATGTCCTAATTTTAGGCTTGAAGGAAGAAAATATCAGTCCGATTAGGTGAATTTGCCTTAGGTTATACAGTGGCAAACTCTGAAATAAAACTCAAGGCAGCAGATTCCTAAGTTAGTGGGGTTTATTTTTCAAGATATTAATGAATTATAAAATATAGAAGATTGACTTGGATCTTGATTGATTGCACAGCTTATCCTAGGAATCACTTTAGCAACAGAACTTTTTTTTTTAATGTCATTTTTTTCCATTTGGTAAAATCCAGGAACCCAGTAATTTCATAATTTTGGTTACTTGCAAGAAATCAAAACTTTTCTTGATTTTGATGCTACCACTGTTTTGAAAACAGCCTGGTCTTCACATTAACTTCAGAAAATTAAGTTACAATACATTTTACTTCTTGTGTAACACCACTGTAAGGAACCCAGATTGCTCTTTTGTAAGCCGCGCTGCTGTGTAGAAGCCCGAGGCACATGGTGTGAGTCCTGAACATGGTCTTTAACATTGTCTGATTGCCCTTTTGCGTGGTACCAAGTCAGACAGCAGCAGCTGAATGCAGCTTATTTTCTCATGGTATAATGTTCAGAGCATTCAAGAGCATGTTAAGTAAAATGAATGCATACGCAGTGTCTACATCAATGTAAATTTATTCATAATCAAGAGCAGAATATTTTCTATGGCATTTATCAAAGCAAATATCCTTATATAGGTATTGCTATAAAATGAAGAGTGTGTTTAAAACAAATAGGGACAATCTCATGTTTATATTCAGTTATTTTCAGATGTGCTATTAAACTTAAAAAAGATTATATTTCATCAAAAAACAAAAGGAACTACTGAGTGTAAATTCCACAGTAATATCAAGGTCTTTTAAAGGACCTTTGTAAAAAAAGAAAGTGCTCTTTCTGCATTAAAAATGCTATGATTTACCTGGACAAACCTCTAAACTATGTTGATTCTGAGGTCTTATTAAATGACTTTTCTTCTGAAATAAGTGTAATATAAACTATAGTACAATCAACTATCTAGGTGTTATTTAAATCCTGTTTTAAAAATGTAAGATCTAAAGTTTCAAACCAGGCACTGTTTTTCCAATGAACACAAGCTCCAAAGGGAAATAAATTTACTAATCTAAGCATTTTTGAGAGAGCTTTGAGCATTCATGATGCACTTCAGATAATAGAAATAATAATTTCTCTTAGATTTTGGGAAATCTACTGATCAGACAGTTATTCTAACACTTTGCATAATGCTGAAAAACGCAGATACTGGACCAACAGAACTCACATTTAGGATATGAAACGGCTTCTCCATATAAATATCAACACATGAGGTTTTTAGTAATTTGCTTTTTTTATAAATGAGAGAGAGAAAAAAACGGGACAAACAGAAGGGGCAGAAAAAGTAACAGAACTAAAGTGTACTTACTCCCAACTTGATGAGGTATTCACTACCAGGGACAAGGTCCTGCAGCACATGAGCCTGGGGAAGCTCGCTGCTGTTGTAGGTGACAGTCCAAACGGGGAACTCACGGGTGTGATTTGAAACATACAATATATAGTGTTCCAGAATCCCATTGAGTTTTCTCGGTTGTTTCCACCTGGGAATGGAAAAAGGGAACATTACCATGATCATTCACTCAAGTCAAAACTGAGATGTGCAGCCTTTTCAAAGGCCATGTCGTAGCTTGGATTTGTGCCACTGCAAAAAACCACACTGAAAGCTCAAAAGTAATTCATTCCCCTCAAATACCCAAGTGCTTATTAAATGCTTATTCTGGGTGACATAAAGAAAATATGACATCATCCCTCCCCTCTGGTTACTTATAATTTCAAGTAGCTGATAATATGAAAATGTATGAGTGATTATTGATTTTGAATTTAAACTGCTGAACAAAATTTGGGGAAAAGAAGATATTTGAAAACTTATAAGATAGAGGAGAAAGGATCACATAATTTTCCTTGAAAAAAGCAGCCATCTAGCTGGGGATATAGCTCAGCGGCACAAGTGCTTGCCTGGTAAGTGCAAGGTCCTGAGTTCGATTCCCAGTACAAACGAACAGACAAACAAAACCTCCAAAAAGCAGCCATCTAATGCAGCGTTAATACCTAAGTACAGAAATCAGAGAAGTTGGTGCTCGGAAGAGCTGAGGCCATCAGGCAGGATTTCATGAACGAGGCGCCATGCTGCTGACGTACATAGGATTTCATCCTGAAAGCTGGTTTGGATGTGGGGGCTGAAGGAAGAATCAAAGGGGCTGAACGTCACATTGGAATGAGAGGAAGGGAGAAGGGCAAGTGACAGAACAGACAGGAAACAGTTCAGGTAAGATGTTACAGCAGTGGGAAATCTTTCGGGACAAGTAATATGGTGAGCTCAAAGGTACGTGAAAGCTAGTACAAGAGTTTACATGGAAAAATCTGATAGGAATCTAATGCTTTTGGACTTGAATGAAGGGCATAGTTTAGTCACTCTAAACGTTGACAGATGAGAAAACTGAGATCAAGAGACACAAACAGGCATCTTGTTGGTGGTCAGTAGAGAGTCTATTAGATTGTAGCTCAGTGGTACAATATATTTTATACCTCATTTATTAAGAAAAGGACAAAAGTCCCTAATGTCAGAAATGATCTGAATATGCTTATAATGTGAAAGCGCCTTTGTTTTTTTAAGTGCAAGGGAATAAGGACATAAGAAAGTCCTTGTTTTTTCATACTCAAACATAAAGAAAAAATTATGTATGCACACATACACCTACCTGAAGGTAGATACATATGTAAATGGTCAGTTTTTCCTCTCTGGAAGTTTGCACAAAATCTGTGTACACACACGGCTCAGCTTGCTTGTATAAGGACAAGATGGAAATTAAGTTGGCAAGAGGTAAGCAATCAAAGGTTCCCAGAACCACTGATCTAATCACTTCTATTCATTTAATCACAATAAAATTAATTTCATGTCACAAGTCCTTCTCCTGATTGAAGTCACTGGGATTCTCGAATGAAGCGGTGTATGAGAGAGACGGCATTTCTACTTACTGTACGTATGCAGTTTTAGAATCCAGAACTGTCACAGTGGGGGACTCCACGTGCTCCGGGGGCAGCTGTGCCGTGTGCAGTGTGACCCGCGAGCTGTCTGTGCACCCAACAGGGGTGCATGCACTCACGAGGAAGTGGTGAGAAGTAAATACTCCTAAGTCTAGGGTAAGAGGAGAAAGGAGAATTCATTTAGCAACACACCTTTTATTCGCGAGGTCTCACTCCTCCACTGCATTCCTGTAAATAAAGGCTTCCAATATGAATTAACAGCCAGACAAATTAATAGCAATAAGATACATTAGAATAAAGTACAGTTAAGGATATTTCATCCCTTAAACAGGCTACGGTAATATCCAAATAGACAAGTGTCAGTCAAACTCTTGTTTGACTTTTTCAAATTGACTGTTTTCTTGAATATCTATGACCAGGTAAATCATTTTCTGAGTCTAGTCTTAGTTCAATGCCTCTGTTAAACATAAATGAGATATTTAAATTATTTTAAAGCATATTTGAAGATAACAGGAGTCGCTTTTGAAATGCAAATAGATAGCCTGTAACAAGGACTTTGTGTTCGTAATTCTGTTTGCCAGGTTCCTTTTTTCTTCTGTCTACCTGACCAACTATTATTTGACCTTCACGTTATTCAGGTTCTGTGCAAATACCTTCTGCTTTCTTAAGCTGTCCCTAACGCTCCTTGCTGATACCCCGGTGCAAGGTGGAGCTAGTGCCCTGTCCTCTGTGTCCCACAGTACTTTGTACATGGCATTAGCATGGCACTCACAATGTGGGTCATCATTATTTATTAACATGACTGTCTGATCCAGTGCAATGAACCCCTTAAGAGGAAAAATGATGCTAAAGTCATTTGGCAACTTCAGTGTCCGAGACACTGTCCAGCATATTGTAAATTTTGAAAACATGTTTTAATGAATGAATAAAGAATTCATGAATGAGATGCTCTAGATATAGTTGGGCTAAATATGAAAAATGGCCACTAAAAGTAGGATAGCACCCTTCCCTGAAACAACCTCTGCTTCTCCCAAACTTTTCCAGTGCTTTCTACCTGTCAACCTGTGCAAGAGATACCATAGCTCTTGCATCAGAATAAATTAATCTGTAATTTCCTAATTCTTTTCTGAAATACTCTAAATCCTTCATTTACAAAGGTGCTAAGTCATGTAACCAAAGTTTCATCAAATTTACCAAGGTTTAAATATCATTCATACTTTTCTGCTTCTAAAAATAATCGGTATTTTCTGGGTTTTTTTTTTTTTTTTGAAGTATGTTAGTCACAACTTAAGTAACACATATTCTTAAATCTCATTAACCTTGAACCATTACAATTTCATGTTTAAAAGATTAATGAAATGCAACCTAATTCAGTCAAATAGATTTTGCATTGCACTGATAGCAAAAGTAAACTAGGAAGAGAATGCTCTGATTTTCACTCAAAGCACAATCAATTGGTTAAACATGTAGGTCATGAGAAGAAAGGGAAATGGTCAGTTTACAGTAAATACAGTTACCTTAGAAAGTGGTCGCAAGATGGGAGTCTTGGTCTTTTCCATTAAATCATGCTGTCTTTACCACTGCTGCCCTGTAGGTATCTGATGGTGCTGAGGTAAAGTGGGGCCTCCTCAGTCACCGCGACTGGAAGGGACCCCGCAGGGACACTTTGAAGTTGGTGGCCAAGCACTGTGGCATGGCCAGGGATCACAGAGAGATGACAGGAGCAGCTGCATCCCGTCTACATCAGCAAGACTGACTCGGGGTGCCTTAATTCAGACCAGAATTCCATGAAACTCAGGAAGTTAAAAATCAGGAGAGCAGTGGACTCAGATGAATCTGATAGGAATCTAATGCTTTTTGCCTTGGATGAAGGTCATAGTTTAGTCACTCTAAACTTTGACAGATGAGAAAACTAAGATCAAGAGAGACAAATGTGAACAAACATCATGCTGGTGGTCAGTAGAGAGTCTATTAGATTGTAGCTCAGTGCTGCAATATATTTTATACCTCATTTATTAAGAAAAGGGTAAAAATCCCTAATGTCAGAAATTATCTGAATATGCTTATATGTGAAAGCTCCTTTGTTCTTTTAAGTTCAAGGGAATAAGGACATAAGAAAGTCCTGTTTATTCGTACTCAAATATAAAGAAAAAATTATGTATACACACATACACCTACCTGAAGGTAGATATGTGTGTAAGTGGTCAGCTTTTCCTCTACAGAAGTTTGCAAAAAATCTGTGCACACACAGGGCTCAAGACAGGAAGCTCAGCTTCGCTGCGTGGGAACTTTGGCCTCTCAGAGGATGAATTTCAACCAAATATTAAAGTGTCCCGTGGTAAGGTAGGAGAGGACTCAGGGATGACCCTGGGCTTTGGCTGGAGCAAAGGGAAGGATGAAAGAGCCATCATCTGTTGAGGAAGGGCGTGGAAAGGAAAATAAAAAGGTCACACTTTTGACAAGGTCAGATGGAGAGGTTTATTAGACAACTTTGTGAAACTGTCAGGCGGGCAATTTGAATACAAGTTTAGGGTACAGGAAGAGGCTGTGATTTGAGAAATGATTGGGAGAGTCACGCTCCTGTAGGTAGTGCTTAAGGATGTAAGTGTAGCTAGAACTACACTCCTGTAGGTAGTGCTTAAGGACGCAAGTGTAGCTAGAGCTACTTACGTACACAAGGACGTAAGTGTAGCTAGAGCAGAGGTGTGAGAAGCAGAACCCTGGTGCACTACCATTACAATGCCAGTGAACAGCAAAAATCAGCCAAGGAGGAAAAGAAAGACTCACTTTGCAATGTATGAGGAAAACAGTAAGATCACAGGGTCCCAAAAGTCAAGAGCAGCAAATTCCGTAAGGATTGGGGTCAGCTGACATAAAAACTAACAAGGGAGCAGTGGGGTTAACAATTTGGCAGTGGTTAGAAACTGTGCAATGGAATTTTCAGTATACCTGTGGGCACCAGAGCCTAGTTTCAACCAGTATAAGCAAGGATGGAAGAAGAGGGGTTAAGGTAGTCAGTATAAATATTTTCTTCTAGAAGTCTTGTTAAATGGGAAAGCAGAGAAATGAATCAATAGACAGAACTTCAGAAGAGTTAGACAAAGATTTTGAAAAATAATTTAAATGAGAGCAAAGTATTTTGGGTGCAGATGGGAATGATCTACCATGGAAGAAAAAAATTGGTGATGAATGAAAAAAAAGAGAGGATTGCTAGAGATGTGTTCTTAAATATGGGAAAAATCGAGTCTAGTGCAAGAGGGAAGAGTTGGACATAGAAGGAACAGAGACAATCCATGCTGCTAGGAGGGGACATGGGGGTGTGGTACGAATATTGACGGCAGAAGCCACAGGCCTCACTTTCTAACCACTGCCATGTTCTCAGGGAAGAAGCAAGATTTCAACCAAGAGGGATCTCGATTCTCTGGAGCAACACTCTGCCATGGCCTCTTGCTGCCCATTGAATGGAATCTAATAAAGGTCTGCAGGATGCTGTTTGCTTTATACCTGTTTCTCATTACCTTTGCACCCTGGATGCATTTCTTTCCTCTCACATTTCAAGCTCACACCTTCGGGCCCTTGAAGTTCTATTCCTTCTCACTAAAATCTGTTTCTCCCCTCACACTTGGCTGGCTTTCCCCATTTATCAGGCTGACCCTTCTTGGAGCGGTCTTCCCTGATAGTTGAACAAGCTGGCCACCATCATCCCCAGGCACTAGAACTATGTCATATGCTTCTTGCTTATTTCCCTATCGTCACTACCAAAACCTACCCAAAATTGCTTTGTCATTTATTTCTGTCTTCATATCCCACTCAGAAGAATGGAAAGTTTTTGAGTACAAAAACTTTCATTCAGATTTTCCTACACTACCTGTAGGCTCCATGAGATGAGTAATTAGAAGTATTATTTATTAGGAAGACCAGAGGCTGCCCTCAATGTCCCTGACTCAATTGCCATTTCCTTTTCTCAGAAATATAATAATGTCTCCGAAGGCCCAAAAACCTCCAACAATCTAATGAGCACAACTGTCAAGCCAAAGGAAAAAGAAGATTCACCATTAAAATCTAAGGCAAAGCTGTTGCCATCCGAACACTAAGATAGGGATTGTGGAGCACTAATGTTTCACAGCAGGACAGAAGACAAAGACAGACCAAAATAGTGCCATTTCTTACCGTGAGGGCACAGAGGTGATTTAGGTTTTTAGAAGTTATATATATTTTTCAAATAGTCTATGGTATACATATACAACATAGTTGAGAAAAATAGTTTAGCGATACAAGTTCATAACTTAGAAGAGAACGCGTCCCAAGCCTGTGCAGCACACACCCTGCGGCACCTCTGCTGTCTCGCTCATCCTTTCCTCAATGACCTCAGTCTTGGCTCTGTTTTCTTTTCAATCACAATTGCATTTTGGCAACTCCAGCATCCTCCGTAATGACTCATCTCCGAGTCTGGCTTCACTGTAACTTCCTCAAATGCAATGCCCTTCACCTCGACTCCATTATTTCAACATTCAGTGTAGTTACCCCACTGTTTAATCATCTTTGGAACTATTTCCAAAACTAAACCTAGGATCTGCTTTCTGCATCCTCCAGCTAGTGACTGCCCTCCTCTTCTACCAGTCTCGTGGATGGGACCAGTGCTTGTCCACCACATGAAGTTCAGTCTCTCGAATTTTTGTGATAGGTCCATGCTCCTCACTATGATCTTTGATCACTCATCACAAAGCCATACTCTGCAGGTCCTTAGGTTTCCCATCCTACTTCCCCTCGGTCTTCTCCTATGTGAGCTATTCCCATTCCTAGCTCTGGAAAAATCTCACCATTTTGTGTGCATAATGCTTCCCACACCACTAAGATGTGTCTGAGAGACATCGCTAGACACACTGAAAAGTCCACTATAACTTTAGGTTTTCCAAATTGAACAGGGTGCCCGGGACAGCTCAGCAAGCACTGTCTTGTTCCCTTGTTTATCTCATCATTGTATTGTTCTTCCCTCCCCATACTTTTGGGATTTGAGGAACTTATTTTACCTTGAGGATCCTAATGAGGCTAACATTGGAGGCACAGCTCTGTCCTCTGAAATCCTCCGACACGTGCTGTCTGTGCTACAGGGACAGAGCTCAATATAGTGACCATACTGAACTGCTGCTT